CGATTCCCCGCGGTGGATATACATCAGATAGCCCAGTGTGGCTTGGCTCTAAAAACAAATAAACACTCAATAAATCTTCTGAGGGACAGCGGTAAGTGCATGGAATTACAACATTAATATCCGGGGTTCGATTCCCCGCGTTGGATATACATCAGATAGCCAAGTGTGGCTTTGCTCTAAAAACAAATAAATACTCAATGAATCTTCTGGAGGGACAGCGGTAAATGCGTGGAATTACAACGTTAATAAACAGGGGTTCGATTCCCCGCGGTGGATATACATCAGATAGCCCAGTGTGGCTTTGCTCTAAAAACAAATAAACACCCAATGAGTCTTCTGGAGGGACAACGGTAAATGCGTGGAATTACAACGTTAATAAACAGGGGTTCGATTCCCCGCGGTGGATATACATCAGATAGCCCAGTGTGGCTTGACTCTAAAAACAAATAAACACTCAATGAATATGAATTATAAAGTTATAATCTTGTAAAGAAAATAGACACTGTCGTTCCATTTGTTTAACGTAATGTGTACGGGGAAGTGGGATGAATGGGAACACACATAGACAGTCGATCAATTGTACTAGAGTGTGTATCTATGGCAAAGCTATTAAGGCTATCTGCCGCCGTCCCTAATTTTGAACTACTGATCAGAGGGACGGCAGGTGGTCAGCAACACCCTACTTCCCATCATCCATTGAAAGAAATTGACGATCCTTCTTGTTATGCATCTACAGCTTAATGAACGGGAAATATTTTTTTTGGAATCTCACGGTTTCAAACCCATCTTGATAGCTCCGAAATCCAACTCTGTATCACTGGGCCAATCCGCGCCATCTTACTAGAAACACTCCGTTAGGACCAATCCGTGCCATCATACTAAAAACACTCCGTTAGGACCCGTCCGCGCCATCATACTGGAAACATTCCGTTATAACGGAGTGTTTCTTGTATTGTGGCACGGATTGGCCCTAACGGAGTGTTTCTTGTATTATGGCACGGATTGGCCCCAACGGAGTGTTTCTTGTATTATGGCACGGATTGGTTGTGGCACGGATTGGCCCTTACAAGAAACACTCCGTTGTTTTGTTAGTTTTTAAAAAGCAATGCAGATTGCGTTCTTAACTAACTCCCCTCCCCCTCACTAAAGGAAAACAAACTATAGGTAACACATCACATAATCCTTCGTGATTAATCTATTTTTTTATATATGATCATTAAAACAGTCTAAAGGCCAAAAATATCGTTAACAGCGAGGGTATCCAAATGATGAAACAATGCATTCTGATCTTTATCAGTAAGAACGTAAATGTATATATATATGTGTGTGTAATTAGCTGTGCTCATTACCAGGCTGATTTTTGGTTTCGCTCCGAGTACGGAAATATTAACTGCATACGTCCACCGTGGTTATCGATGTTATATATATATATCATAAACGTCCGTATAAGAATGCGTATAAAATCAAAATTAGCACCTTTATTTGGAGTTCGCTATGGTCTACCGTGTACTAACTGAATCGCCCGGCATGGCCAGGTGGATAAGGCGCTCGACTCGCAATCTGAGGGTCGCGGGTTCGA